ATGTATAACAACCAAATGGAGGTTATCTCATAATACAAGATTGGTTAAGCTGTGATGCCACAGCACTGTACTGAGGGCAACATAGTGAGACCCTGTCTCAAAAAATAATAATAATAATAATGATGTATAACAACCAAATGGAGTTATCTCATAATACAAGATTGGTTTGATATATGAAAATTAGTGTAATTTACCATATCAATAACCAGAAATAGCAGGTGCAGAGAAAGTATTACATAAAATCCATCATCCATTTCTGATAAAAACTGTTAGAAAACTGTGCTCACTTTGGCAGCACATATTCTAAAACTGGAACAATGCAGAGAAGATTAGCATGGCCCCTGCGCAAGGATGACACGCAAACTCGTGAAGTGTTCCATATTTTTTTTGGTAAATATGGCATCATCTACATGGAGGATCTGATTCATGAGATCTATATACTGCTGGAAAATGCTTCGAAGAAGCATCTGTGGCCCTTCAGGTTATCGTCTCCACCAGGTGGAACGAAGAAAAAGACAACCACTTTGTGGAAGGTGGAGATGCTGATAACAGGGAAGACCAAATCAATAGGCTTATTAGAAGAATGAACCTGCCCTGATATTTTTGTAATCTGGTCACTTAATAAACAGTAAGGTATCTGCCCTGATTATTTTTGTAATCTGGTCACTTAATAAACAGTGACTGCTTTTGAATTGAAAAAAAAAGTGACTAAGAATAGAGCAGAACTTTATTTATTTACTTGATAAAAGGGCATCCATAAAAATTTGAAGCTAACATCATACTTAAAGATGAAAGACTGAATGCTGTCTTAACTTTGAGACCAAGACGAGAATCTTCTGCCTGGTCTATTTAACAATGTATGGCAAGTTCTAATCAGTGTAATTTAAAACAAGAAAAAGAAAAAGAAACCAAAGGGATCCACAATGGAAAGGAAGAAGTAAAATTGTCTTTGATTGCAGATGAAATAATCATCTATGTAGAAAATCCTGAGGAATTTACAGAAAGCCCTACTAAAACTAGTATGACTTCAGCCTGATTACAAAATTCAAGGTTAGTACAAAGAAATTTATTATATTGTATTTTACAAATGTTAGTCAACTGATGACTAAATAAACTGAATGTTGTATATCCATACAATGTAACATTTCTTGGCAATGAAATAGAATGAAGCAGTGATACATGCTAAAGCATGGATGAACCTTGAAATCATTATTGTAAGTTAAAGAAGTCAGACACAAAAGGCCATGTATTGTATGACACTTATGTGAAAGTCCAGAATCAGCAAATTCAGAGACAGAAAGTAGATTTACGGTGACCAGGGGCTAGGAATAAGAAAATAGGAAGTGATTGCTAATAAACAGGGGAATTTCTTTTTGGAATAAAAATGTTTAGGAATTAATGTTGGGAATACAACCAAGTGAAAATATTACAAACCACTGAATTATATACACGAAAAGGAAAGATTTTATGGTATATGAATTATATTTCAATTTTTAAAAAAACAGTGATGGGGCAGATGATGGAGGTAAGGGATCAAAACTACCTGTTGGATACAACATATATTGTTTAGGTGAAGAGTACACTAAAAGTCTGGACTACACCACCATACAATTCACCCATGTAACACAAAACCTCTTGTATTTTCTAAATCTGTTGAAATTTTAAAAAGTAAAACAAAAAAACCCAGTGACAAAAAGACACTGTACCATACAGACTGACTGAAAATATTCACAAAACATACACATAACAATGTATTTATAATTAGTGTCTGTCTCCCCACATATTCTTTAATATAGTTTATTACCAAACTACTGGGCAATCTGAGATGTCAATAGACATATAATAATGCTTACAATGTAGTAATGAGAAGACAAACAGCCCAGTTAAAATCAGGCTAAAGACTTGAACAGACACTTTTACAAAGATAAATAAACATTTTTTAAATGCACATAGATTTATCATCATCAAACATTACAGAAATGCAAACTAAACACAATGAAAACCACTACACACCCAGTTAGAATTACTAAAATATGGAGGAACTGTAACTCTTATACTACTGATGTCCATCAACAGCAAAATTGATAAATTGCAGTGTATCCAGACAACAGAATACTGCCCAGCTATAAAGAAATGAAATACTGATTCATACTATAACATGTATGAATCTCAAAATAATTTTGTGTGCTTGCTTTGGCAGCACATATACTAAAATTGTAATGATACAGAGAAGATTAGCATGGCCCCCTGTATAAGGATGACACGCAAATTTGTAAAGCACTCCATATTTTGAGTAATTGGTGGGACCACACTTACGGTGCATCTTACAAATGTGAAATTTACTAGGTGTAGAATATGAATGTCTTAACACAATAACTAAGAAAATGCCGTGAAGGCTCTGTTAACCAGTTTGATGAAAACATTTCAAATTGTATATAAAACCACACATTGTACCCCATGATTGCATTAATGTACACAGCTATGATTTAATAAAAAAAAATAATTTTGCTCAGTTAAGCCAGATAAGAATACATATTATGATTCTATTTAATATTCTAGAAAATGCAAAGAAATGTGCTATGAGGCTCGGCGCCTATGGCTCAACCGGCTAAGGTGCCAGCCACGTACACCTAGGGTGGCGGGTTCGAATCCCCAGCCCCGACCCGCCAAACAACAATGATGGCTGCAACCAAAAAATAGCCAGGCATTGTGGCGGGCGCCTGTGGTCCCAGCTACTTGGGAGGCGGAGGCA